CCAGCAGAGCGGCAGGAATCAGGTCGCTCACCTGCAGCAGCTTGCTATAAATGGTGTACCCAAAGGCCTCTGCCACTTCCGTGATATTTTGCTGCAGAGGGAAGACAGCAAACAATTGTCACTAAGAGGTCCCCCTCTAGGACCTGGAGCAGTAATGCAAGGGAGAAACCAGGCGGTTAACAACTACAGTAGCTAAACGCAACAAGTTTATCTCTGTCATCATCATGCCGATGGATTTGGCCTGGCGAGTGCTGGCATTCAGCAGCCGCCACTTTTCTCATTCATCCTGGGTAGACGCTGCTATGGCAGGAGCTGGGATGAATTTCAGCACTCTGTTGTGCTGTATAGAAAATGTGTTATTTACTGTAAAATGCAGGATCTATAAGCTCCTAGCACTTGTTTAAGGAGTACCAGAGATACATTGGCAATCTCACACTGCAATCTGCTCTGCACTGGAAAAGGAGTGTGATGGTTGGCATGGCACACGATCCCCCTGCCTACATGCAGTACTGTTGTCCCCTAGTGATGAATCGCAGCTCCCTCTGTCCCAAATATTGGTATGCCACAAATGCTGTCTCCTTCGCAAGCCAAATGTGTGCCCTCAGACATCCCTTACACAGCTAGGAACAGGGAGGAAAAGCACCCCACATGGCCTTGGGCTGAGGGTGTGGGTGGAAGGGCTTATCAGGGACAGCACTATCACAGCTGCTGGGAGAAAGATCCGAGCCCTGTCCTCACCACAGCAGTTATCAGGGCACAATCACTGCTTCAGACTTACCCGTGAGATCTTTGAGGAGATGTTACGGTCCACCAGGTCACTTGGAATGAGGATCTTGTTGATGAAATGAATGACCCCGTTCACGCCAATGATGTCACTCTTGATCACTTCGGCTTCCTCATTGAGACAGATGCTATTCTGAGAGAGAAGGGATGCAATGAGGTATTTCCACCCACAGCACTGCCCTATACGCCACTTGTGGGCCCTAGGCAAGTCACTTGCCACAACCACAGTGGCCTTCAAATGACAGCAAAAGTGACATTCTGCCAAGGGGGACAGGGAATGGAATTGTGGCAGAGAACTACCTCTTTCACTGTGATATTTATTTTGTGGCCAGATAAAGATGTAAGGGACTCCTGGGCTTCCAGGTCACTGGACAGCAGTTTTTGGCAACCCACCATGTGGTAGCGAAGCAGGTCCCGGAGGAGACCTCTGCTCCTCCACTCCTCAAACTACAGAGAGAAAAAAAAAGGAGATCACACTGAGGGCACTTTGCTTTGCAGGGGGGGCGGACGGGCAGACCCAATGAGGGAGACCTGGACTGCCCAAGCCCCCTCTGACCCATCCCTGCAGGAAAGCCAGTCCCCCCCAAAATGTGGTGAAAGCACAAAGCCATTCGAGAGCTTTGGGCAATTTCAACCAGCTTGACAAAAACAGCATTCAGGTCCCTTGATGGAGGACAAACGACCACATTGGCCTTGAGGAAGTGGCACCTGGGATACGTGGTCGTTAGGAATTTTTCCTTTACTGGGTGGATGGGAGGGTCATGGGAAAAAGGTTGGGACTAGTGGTGTGAAGCTGCACAACAGGACTTGTGAGAGATGGTATTAGGATCTTCCATTACACCAACACCAGAAAGCTGTTGGTCAAGAACCTGTCTGGTTCACAGGGTTGTGAATAAGGATCTCTCTTCCCTCATGTCTCCACTTGCCCCAGGCATCCCACTTATTGGGACTGGAAGGAAGGGACCAATAGAGGCAGAATGGCAGGGCCTGGGGCACAGAGTGGGAATAAGAGGTCTTCTTCACAGATGCCATGAAGCCTTGGTGTTACCAGCCCTTAACAGCCATGGGTAATGAAAGTCACCATGCATCACTGATTTTGCCTCTGATGACCATGAGGCAGGGGCTCCAGTAAGGGTGTCCTTACAACAGGAGCCATGTCCACCCCTGCCCAGATTGTCTCTGTGGTGAGCTGGCACCCAAACCTCTGCTCTTACACTGATGGAGAATGAGGGATGCCTTTAACCCTCTGCAGTACAGCCCCTTTGCTTCGATTCACTGGGCAGAACAGCCCCAGAGGGGACATTGCCATGACCAGAGCTTGCCAAACAACTGACAGTGCTTGGGATGAGAGGACACTTACTGTTGTGGTGTTTCCTATGAAATCTGTCCGTGGGACGAAGACAGTGAAAGGCCCTGCCCCACTGAGCTCCTTGATGTTTTCCGCCTGTGGTAGAGAGCATTTGTGGGAAGGGAAACAGAAAACATGGCTCCAGTTAGCAAGACCCTTTGCAGAAAACCCTAAGTGAGATTTATTATACAGAGACAAGGACAAAGCTGTTTGTCACCAACCAGTATCATCTTAAAGAACATGGATGCATCTTCGATCCTTCCGAGCTCCTTAAACAAAGAGAAACAGCTGGTGTTAGTAGAGTCCCTTCCATTTGCTCCTCACCAGCCAGCATGGTGACCTGCTCCTTCCACTCCAGGTCAGTCTCTCACCCCAATGAGACACTGGTTCTTCTGACACACCGTAGTGATCTTTCCCTCCCTCCCTTGCCAGCACTGCAGGCATGGAAGATGTGGAGGTTACAAAGCAGGCAGTGCCTGGACCATTCACATCACAGGTGCTGCAGGATGGAGTGGACAAAGAGATGAAAGCTGGCTGCTTCTGCAGCAACAGTCTCACAGGTTTAACTGCCCCTGTGCTCATGTGACACCTCGAGTGCTTCACAAAACCTCCGCTTTAAGCTCACTGTGCTGCTACTACCAGTTCTGGGATGCCATCCAGAGTGGCAGACATAAGGCTTGGCAGGGCAAACTCCCTGTCCTTTCCACACTAACTTTCAGTAAGAGCAGAAGCACAGAACTGAGTCCATCTCTTTTCTCCCAGCTTTGCTGTGGGGATGAGAGCTTTTATTTGCCACTACCAGAAAAGCTCACCGGTTTGACCAAGGACAGCCGTTGTGTTGGCAACAGAGCCGGAGATAGACTGCTGCCCTCCAGACTGGATCCCAAGTCCTGGCATGACCACAGGGGACACCTGACCTGATCCTACAGACTGGGAGAAGTGGGTTCCCTTGGGAAAAAAAAATTACTCCCATTTGCTTATAACATCAAGAAAACAGCACCCTGGAGGTATGGCCAATGTTGCTGACAGAGCAGAAGAGTGTTCACATCATGACTCCCTTTGGAGCAAAGTCGCTTTACTGTGATTCTCTCCCACAGCTGGCACACCAAATACACCTACGATTTATGGATACTTTGCTTCAAAGCACCTGTCTCCACTCCTACACCACACACGTGTCAATATGACACTACAGATCTGTTCACTTGCAGCTTACACTTGGAGGGGAGGGAGCAGTTTGCTGCAGAACAGGGGGCCCAAACACAAAAGATGCTGTGCATTCTTCTCACCTGATACACTTTGCCATGGCAGGTGAAGCCATCTCCGATACTGTGCCAAGCGCAGGAGCAGTTTCGAGTGCCAGGGCCCGTGTACTTGCAGAGCCCAAATGGACTACAGCCTCCATTGTTCTAGCAAGAAAAGCAAAAGGCTTGCATGGAGGGGCATCACTAACAATTTGGATGGCCACTTGCATGCAGGAGCTGCTAACTACATCCAGCCAAGTGGAAAGGAAACCATTCCTCCCGTATGTTTAGTGCCTTAGAATAAACCTCACCCAAAACCTCAAGGGCTTTTCAGCACCAAATCTTCCCATGAAACAAGACTTTCACATCTTACTTTGGAACCCAGAGTGATGATAAAACCCATGATTCCATATTTGGACATGGCAGTGAGCACAGATTACTCTTAAGCTTTTGAGCACGTCCCACACAAAATAGATGCAGAGAAACAAGACCACATGCCTCCAACCCTGTGTCACTGTTTCCACACTGCTTCTCCCACAAGAGGGAGTGCCAGGTGGCTGACATACTTGCAGGTCATTGCAAGAGGCAATGGAAACCAAACACACCAGGAAATCCCTTCAGTATGTGAAAAGGCAAGACAGCCAGCTCTAAACAAGCAGGCTAACCCTGCTCTTGCTGTTAACTGTCAGGAAAAAGGAACACTTCAAGGCTGTGGCCTTCACCTCTGGTAACAGCAAAATGCAGACATACCTGTTCACACAAGTTGATAGGATTGCACTGGCTCACGCCATCCCCACTGTAACCGGGAAGACAGTTGCAGGCAACCTGGATGGAGAACAGATGCTCAGTCTGAAACTTGGATCCAATAAAGAAAACACACAACAGCTGAGCTGGGTGGAAAGCATGTGGTATAGCACCCATTGCTACATCCATGAATAACCATGGTTGTGTCAACAACAAATATAACCTGAGACTGCCTCCAGCCTCTGGCCAATAGAAGGCATCTGCTTTCAAGGAAAGAGCAATCTTTCTATGCCCTTCCCGGGCAACTTTTCTATGTGGAAGGTAATAAGCACAAGGCAGCACACTGCAATGGAAAGGATTGTCTCTAAGAGAATTACACAGCTGTGACAATCTCCATAATAATGTTGCCCTGACATCCATCTTACATACTCACCTTCCTTGGGCCTGTTTTAATGCATTCTGCGTTGGTGTGGCAGCCCCCATTGCTTTCGAGACAGAGATCAATTTCTGCAGCAAAACAATAAGGCCACGTTACTGCTGAGGGCTGCGCAAGGCAGCTGGGAATTGGTGACCCAAAGAGGTACTGGGAAAGCAACAGGGAGGACATTCCCAGCTTGGGAAACATTTTGGTGAAAAAGTGACTTGTGATAGCAAAGGAATAGAGTACAACTGCAAGTTCTACTCCTGCCACACATGGGTCTCTGACTTGTGATGAATATGTCCACAGAAAATCCCATGCCTGCCTGGGTGTGTTTTAAAGGATATGAGAGGACTGGACTCTCCCACAGCTCCATCTTAATCTTGGAGCACCGCTGTGGGACACTGCCCTCACCCTCTGTTTCTGGACCTCTCCACAACATGCATCAGGGCAAGAAACCTCTCGAGGCTATTTTGGTTCGAGACCAAAACGCTGCTCTGAGGCCATCCAGTGAGACAGGTGCCAAGGGCAAGCGTGGGCTCTCTGCCCAGTTTTGGGTAACACTGTGCTGGGGCAGTGATGACCACTTCACTAATCATGACCTGGGAGAACGCTGAACACATACCTACAGATATCTATGTACACACGTACATGTATGTGTGCCTACATGTCAACAAAAAACAGAAAAACAGTTGAATAAAGATCAGCCAGCAATTACTTGCTTTGAAATAATCACTGCATGAACAAAGTGAAAGGAGAATTGAATTATTCAACACTTTAATCTGAAATTTTAATGCTTTAATGCTTTTAGTCTGAAGTTCCTCTTTGCACACATGATGCCTGACTGCTATCACCAAAACATGAACTGAGTACTCACCCATGCAGAGCGTCCCATCTCCAGCGTAGCCTTCCTTACAAACACAGGTTCTCTCCCCTGGGGACACTTTAGTACACACAGCATGTATGGAGCAGCCACCATGATCGATAGTGCATGGATCTATTTCTGTGACCACAAACAAGAGAACCAGAATCAGCTCAGAGCGCTAGGAAAGAAGTGCGCCAGAATGATCATCCATTTTAACAATAATTACAACATCTTATTAAAATCCCTTTGTTTCTCGATGAAATTGTAGGTCCTTTAAAGGCATAGGGCCTCATTTGGATCTGCGAGAGCCCAGTCCAAAAGTCATGCTGAGCTTAAGTAACCCCCAAATAGGATGTCTTTCCGTCACAGCATTTGCTCACTGAGGACTAATGGTTAGACAGGAAAAAAAATATTTTCCTGCATAACATAAATGTTTTCTTTTTCTTCCCCACCTCCACCCCCACCACTCATTTTCAAACAAGGGCAATACTGAAAAGAAACTGTGATATCTACGAGTGTTTTGACTGTTACAATTTTATGAGTAGTTTTTTGTTGTCTGTTTGCTTTTGACATAGACCAGGTTTGTATGTAGCTCTAGAGCAGTATCCCGAAATCTTAGCTCATTTTGGCAGAACTGCTGCACTGCTTCTATCTAATTTTGGCATGGCCAGCAAGTAGGAGGAGCACAAAATTCTAGTGAATTGAAGCATCCATTTTCCAGGTATTCATGACCAAAGCTGTTTTATCTTTGCCAGCATTGCTGTGATATCAGAACTAATACAACCCATTCATGTGCATCTCTCTCCACAAGCAATAAGAACTGCTCTGCTACACTTGCCTGCTTTTTTATCCCTCTTGCAGGATCTAGCAACACAAGAGCATCCTGTGTAAAGCTCCGGATTGGAAAGCATGGTAGAGTTTATGGTGGATGGCTGAGAGGAAAAGGATTTGAATGATCTTTCCCCTGGCAACATCATGACATTTATTTCACAGACAAAACCGTTGTCTTTGCATAGCTTCAACAAGTGTTTGCAAGCCTTGAATCTTGCCCACACTTGCTGGACATACCTGTGCAATGGGTCCCATTCCCTGTGTATCCAGCAGAACAGAAGCACATAGGTGGGGAATCTGCAGAACTATTGAGGCAGCTGAAACAAGAAAGGGATAAACAATCACTGATGACACCTCCTGATTTGCTCAGCCAGTGGGAAACACTATACAAGTCTGGCATGTGCAAGTTAGAGTCCACACTGACCACAGGAGGAACATGCCTGAAGTTGCTGAATATTCCTTTAGAGCACCAAATACTCAGGTCACACTGGCCAGGAAGCTGGCATCCAAGCACAGGCTTCACACCTTGCACAGTGCACCTTCACCATGTTCATGTGCTTCTGCACGGTACAACAGAGATGGCTGGGTCCCGGTACCACAAAATAGGAGATCAGATAATGGATGAAGAAGGCAGCAAGAAGGAGTCATCACAGCCCATCAACCTATTTAATTCCTTGGCAGGGGCAGGCAAGGCAGAAAGGGCTTGTCAGTGGCTGATTTGCTCCATGAATAAGGCCAGACTTGGAGTACCTTGGAGTCTCTGCTTTCTCCCATCCACACATGCAAAAGGAACTTGGAAAGAATTTATGCTCAAACAGACAAAATCTTTGGGGAAAGTGGATGCGGCTTAGCACCAAAGAGAGTTCCCAGGATGGAAATGACATTTATGCACCTTTAATGAGCAGGCACCTCCTCCTAGCCCTCTGTGAAGCCCTAAACATAGAATCACCTCTATGTAAAAACACACATGGCTTTCTCAGAATGACCCAGCCCCTTGTCTGTACTTACTTGGCCATTTGATGGCAAGTGTTATTGCATAAGTCAATCTCGATTCCTGCAAGGGAAAACACAAATGTTACTTGGCATTTTCAATTTAGCACTTGCTAGGGACATTTCTGCCATCTAGAGTAAAAGACTCTGCAAATAGCATCACTGCCACACTTGTGGTGCCCTGACTGATGATGGGACACAGCAGCAGTTATACTAACTCTCACATCCTATCTGGCAGCAAGAAAACCTCATGGGACTTATCGTCTGGCATTTTGCAATGGAGTGAATTCAATGTTCTCTGAGCTAACGGTTCAATTTGATCCTACCTGCATGGCCTCCACATTGCTAGGAATGAAACAAGAACTGAAATCTCATTAATCCAGTCATACAGAGCCATCTGGCTTTGCCCCATTTGAAGCAAAAAGATGAATTTGTTTCATGCTTTACATTTACACGAGACAGGACAGCTCCACACAATTTCCATTTCTAAATGCCACCAAAACACTTCACTACAAAATCAATCCCTATGTGCAAACCTTTAAAATCCCAAATTATTTAGGAGCTCATGTTCCCCCCCCAGCCCAATGGCAATCACAATCCCAAATCCCAGGAACAACCATCTTCAACATATTACTTTGACACAATGACATATTGAGAGCTGCAGACCACGGCCTGAGCTCCCCTAAATCAATAGATCTAGTGAGCAGAAAAAGCAACTCAGCAGACACACTGGGGCCCTTGGGAGGCTTCAAATCAAGACCTGCCACCTCCTCAGGCAATAACAGGAGTCATGGTCAACCCAATCTGGCTGAGAGCTTCCATGTCTCTCCCAGGGCAAGAGGCTGTTGTTGAGGTGCCTCAAATCTCAGTGGGGACAGAAGCAGGTGATACGCTTTTCCCTACATGAAATTCACCCAAGTAACTTCAGGGCTCACGTGCTGTTGGGGAAGTCACACCACAAATGCAGCTCGTGTGCAGGAATGAGCTAGCACAGTCTGATAAGCTTTCTGGGGGATGCAAAGCACATACAACTGTGGTCACCTTGCTCAGCTGACAGAGATTTCTCTGCCAAAAAGGCAGTATTACACCATGGGCCCCTTCACACTCACTCACTTTCTTGGCAGGTGGGGCCCTTCCATCCTGGGAAACACTCACAGCTCCCGTCCCCTTCTAGTCCATCGTTACATATGCCGTTGTCGCAGGCACATTCTGCAGGGGAAATACAAACACTCATCACTGTCAGACCAACCAGGTCTCACAAGCAGAGTGTCACTGCCATTTCACGCGTTGGTCTGTTCCTAATCCAATGCATCAAGTTGCCATAAGAAAAAAGTCACAGGAGTGTCTTCTCTTGTTCCCCTGCTACTAGGCCAAAAAGCCCAGGAACAGACCACCCACCTCTACTTTCTATAGTTTGGGTGGCAGCAGAATGAGTGGCATAGCACATTCAGTCATGCCTTGGTTTGAGGATGAAAATGGGGCCACTCCTCTGGCTGAGCACAAGCGCTTATTCCCACTGTCCCTCTCTCAGTGGCCTGCCAGCTGTTTGCCTGTCTCAGAGGTCTTGGGACATTTCTTCCTTCCCACCACCCCTCCTGAGAGTTGAGACATGGCCACTTTTCTCCCCTTGCAGGCAGGATGGTGGAGACCTGTGCATATAGCCACTGGTGTCACCTGATTTGCAGTCAGCTCCGTATCGGCCCACTTCGCACATTTCGCAGGCAGTGCCGTGGAAACCCTCCAGGCAACGGCACTCTCCGCTGCCCTCGATGCCGTCCTGGCATTCCCCGTTCCCGGAGCACCACTGGCCTGGCTTCCCTGGGCACATCTCACACATGTGTCCGTAGTAGCCGGGGCAGCAGACAGACCTCTTGGGAACCAACAAGAACAGGTCAGTGTGAGCCATCTTGTGCAGCACAGACAAAGTACAGCTTTATTGCGGAAGCTACTATACTTGTTTAACTATGCAATAGCCACCATTTCTGACAACGTGTGAAAGGACCAGATGGGCATGGTTAGGATGAAGTGAGCCCCCCAAAATGGGGTGCTCTGTTGCCCAGAGCCTCATGTAAAGGTCTGCACTGCCACTTGAACAACACTGGCCATTTGGTAACGCAAATGTTCAGTCCTGTGCCCATCCAGCCTATCTCCTGCCTGTGTCCTACCAGTGTGAGACTCTGCTGGGCAGTGAAAGGCTCTGCCAGAAAGTGATTTGATTCAGAAGCCTGATTTAACTGCTCTCATTTCTTTCTGCATCTACCTACAGACGGAGGCAACCATGATGGGACCAAGTTGGACAGTACAGATGAAGAGAAACATCATCCAACAAAGCAACACAGAAGTGCCCAGTGAGGTACAAATGCTGACTGAAACTCTGCCTGTGGGTACCATATGCGCAACTGCCTCTCTCCCTTCTCCTCAATCTCCCATTCCCACCAAACTTTCCAGGGAAATGTTTCAATACCTGTAAGAGCTCAAATTCACACAAGTCTTTCTATTACCATTTCCTCTTCAATTGTTTTCTCCCAGCCACACATTTTCACAAAACTGGTGGGGGTCATAATAGCTGTGAGACCTTCTGCTCCTCACTTTGGTTCAGCTCCAATTAGTCATCAGTTATTCAGGAAGGTGCATGCACAAGCAAAATACCATCATTCATGCCTCATTTCCTTAGGAAACCAGACTACAAACATTCAACTCCTTCTCTTCCTCTGCAGGACAAAACTCAAAGTAACAATACTGAAACAGCAGAACACAATCCATCCCTGGGCAGACATTTCTGCAGGTTTTTTTTTTTCTCCAGTGCCCTCTATCTCCAGGACAGAGAGCAACTCCCAGACAAGCCCAGTCTCACCTGCGCAATGACACAGATGCAGCCAGGACTTCAGCACAGGCTGTATTTCCATGGTTGTATTTCTAACACCCATCTTGCTTTTGTCAAAATGAATCTGAGGCAAATGTTTTTCTTACCAGAGAAACTTTTGCACAGGTGAAATGGCAGCCAAGTATTCCTGTATCCCCAGAACGTAATTCACAGCGAGCGAGATTCTTGCTGCCTGGCAATTCCTGTACGTATAATTAACATAGATACAGACAGAAGATATTACAGTATTTAGACAGATTGTACATTTTGGTGCATATGGCGGTGTTCTTGCCTAACAGAGGAATAATGCTTTTTATCCTACAGGAACAAGACTAAAACTTTGGACTTCCCAGAGCTGAGACCAATGAGGCATCTCTAGACGTGAGGTCACCACACATAGTCTATTTTGATACCTGCCAAATTCATGGTATACATGTCAGTATAAATACTGAGAAAAAGTAATTGGAAAATGGCATAGATTAAAGTAATGAAGCCTAAGAAGCCAGATGTGGCTGCTAGGCAATTCATAGCCAGCATGGAGATGAAATATTTAGTTGCTTTCCTCTCTGGAAATCTTCGTCACTCACTCACAAACAAGCTGCAGGCACAACCAGCCCATCTGTGTGAATAAGTCAATGGTCCAGGCTGGGAAATCACTATTGGCACCCCTAAATTGGCTTTCCTTGATGATAACATCAAAAGAGCAAAGACCAAAAGAGAAATCTCTTTTTTCCCCCTAAGAGGGGAAACTCCCCAAACTGCATGCTCTAAAGGCTCCTGAAATTCAGGCAAAGCCTGATGCCAGCTCTGTAAGGAGCTTCATGGTTCATGCCTGTGTTTTTCCTGTGTAAACCTCCTTTGATGTCTGCTTTCTCTTACAAACCCTGGTAATGAATGAGCCACAGAGGATTCAAGCGCACATTTTTTTTCAGGTATCAAGATGACATCTATAGAGCAATAAAAGGACATCAAAGCACTATCTGCAAACAGTCTGTGAGATGTCACATGAATCAGAGACTCACCACAAGAACTGACCCAGGAGGACACTTGATCCCCTTCTCACACTTGCCGCATCTTGACTAGGGCACAGAGAACAGGACAAGTCACATGTGTGCCCTCTACCCACATCACAACAAGACACTAATCTTGAATTACAAATGGTGCTGTACAGGCTGCTGGCTGGGACAAAGACAAAGATATATTTATCTCTGTGGCTCAAAACACTGAAAGAAGAAAAATCATGATACATGACCCTCAGGTCCTGGCTGCTATCAAAGGCATCACACAAGGTCTTATTTCTGCACTCCAGAGACCATACCACAAAACAAACCAGAAGAGACCCCATGTTATACCTTTTCTGAGTCTCTGAGCTGGGGTAGGGCTTTCTGCAGGCATGGAGTTCCTTCACACAAGGCTGCAAATACTTTTTTTTCTGATCTGTAAGAGGGCAGGCCTGCCTCACTCTGACCCTGCAATCTTCAGATGGCCAAGAGCCACAAGATGTGGGCTGGACTTTGGCCATGACTCCCAGACAGACCACAGCATTTCCTAGGGGAGCTTGTGGTCATGCCATGCAAGAACTGGGCTGGATTCTACTTGCATAGCTGAGTACTTGGGAGTCCCTGCACCAGCCTGCCCCATGGTTGGCACTGTGAGCGAGCCCCAGCAAGTGAACTGAACATGATTTGCATGGGAGCTACATACAGCACAAGAGCTGCAGATCTGCTGCATTAGAAGTACAGAGTCTGAGGCTAGGAAGTGGCAAGTCTCCATGATGTCCCATTTCACATGAGGCTCATCTGGGATCAGATCACAAGCTACTGTCTCATCCCTGTGTAGGATTTGTAGGTCTTCTGCTGTTCATCAGTTTGCTTCAGCAGGTGGAGAAACCCTGTGAAATGGTAGTCAGCTCCTTGGCAATCATCATTACCTTTTGTATGGTGGTGGTATTGGCAGTGCAACGATTCTTCTGTACCTGGAGGACCTGTGAAACCCCAATCAACATGCCATTCTTCGTCTCAAGAAATTTTCCATCCAAAGGAATATTATTGACAAACTTCTGCAAAGGAGAAGGAAATGGCTGAGACGATAACCTTCAACTCCTTCTGCATGGATTGCTTGACAGCTGTCAGACAGCCACAGTAGGCAAACTGTAAGGGTGTCCAAAACAGACATGGGTGTATCCAGCCACCAGCCTTAGAAAGTGATAGATCTAGCCAGATCATCAAATGGCAGAACAGTCTTCCCTTCTTACCTGGGTGCTGTTTTGATAAAACATTAGCCAGTAGGAGAGCCCTAACATGCTGTTCTTATGGATTCCACTTCTCAAGTCCGTGGGCAAGAGCTTCTCTCCCAGTACAACATGGTACCGCACTGTCTCATTGTCCTAAATCCGCAAAAAACCCAAATGTTAGGACTCTCTTGACTTCCTAGACTAAAATTCAGTCAGAGGTATGGCATGAAAAGAGTTCCTAAGCAATCTGTAACAGCTAGTTAAGCCCACAGAGCCTAGTAGCTCCCTATCACAGATGACTGATGTCACCTGATGAGTCTGTTACTGGATGAAGTCATAAATGTTTTTTGGAACCTTTCAAAATGTTCAAAATTGCTGCAGATATGCCATAGCCAGCCAGAAAGGGGAACACATTGTATCATCTATCCACATTGAAATCTACTCAGCAATTTGCATTTGCAGTCCAAATATTATTTTCAGATCCCATTGCAACACCCCAGGAAACCCTCTGATTTCTCTCTGCCACATTTCTCCTAGCTTTTAGCATCAGATATGCTTCTCCTCTCCACGCTCAAATCCACTGAACTCAAGTTTATGATCTGAGAGTGTACATGTCCCTGTACTTACTGCAATACATATTCAAACTGTAAGCAAGCAGTGAGCTTACCAACTGTGTCACATTAGCAGCATGGCAGTATTCCTCAATGGAATTATTTCCAGGAATAAAAACTGTGTATTCTTCAGAGGACTCGATTTTTCCAATGAGCTGGTATTGCTAAAAAATGCCCAAACAGTAACGTTAGCAATTATGCTTGTACTCACTAAAAACAAAACACACATTAAATCAGTTACAAGGGCGAGAGCGCTAGAGGAAATGCTTGAAAACTGGATATACAACTTCTACTCAGTCACACACATCTAATTGCTTGCTCCTCCTCCCGGGATGACATAATTGCAGCTTCTCGATTATGAACAAGCCTTCCTTTTCCTCCAGGTTTCTCTGCCCTGTACAAGCATGAGAGTGCCTGCAGTAGACAGGTCATCTTCCACTGTAATAACATGCCAGAGATACAGAGATCTAACTGTAAGTATATAACTCTTTGGCTGCTCAAAAGAGCTTTCCTAGAAGAACACTCTGGAATGGTAGGAAACAAGTCATCTCTCTTTTGCCACCAGGCAGTCCAAATTTTGGCCCACCACTACAGGGTAAGTGGGGCATGTGCTCAAAAGACAGTTCTGACAACCACAAAGGTGGTCATGTCAGCTGCTTACCTGTAGCAGCTCCTTGAATGTGCTGAATGAGGCAACTGTCTCAAGCTGTTTCTGCAGACCTGGAGGACTCGGTGGGATATCTCCTGAAGATGGCAACAAAACCTGCAGAAAAAGCGAGCACATAAGCCAGGCTGGGCAAGGGGCTCTGGGGGAAATCACACTACACTCCTGCCCTGCTTGCAAGAAAGGCAATTAGAAATGGTCTTACTTTACACAATTCTGCAATAGCCTTAATTTTTCTTCTGTCAGCCAAGAGAAGAGGAACTCCCCTCCCGCTTGTCCCGGAGACAAATATTTTAAACATTAAACACTGCTGCACAGGAAACATCTGTCAAGACCTTGTGATAACAAAATATATTTTTGCCATTATATCCCTTCCTAACCGTCCAGACATATATTTCTCCTTGGCCCCGTCACAGATGCTGCAACACAAACCTGCTGCCACAACTGCAGCATTTCCCAGTATCGCATGTACCGACATACCTTATTGAGGACATGAATAATGCCGTTGCTGGCAGGGACGTCGCTGATGACTATACTCGCATTCTCGATGGTTAATACCTGCAAAAGTATCAGCGGGAGAAGCAAAAGGATTAGAAATTGCCAAGCAAGTTCAAAACAAATATATTGTTCATTCAAGGTTGCACATGATTGCTCTGGGTACAATTTTTAAAAGATGTCTGAGTTTGAGGGCATCAATGTCCCATCCAGGCTCCCCACTGGATACAGCAGTTCTTAAGCAGTTTAATTTGATCCTGGTACATGTGCATTATGTAAAAAACCCTTACGCCACTCCTGGTGTTTATCCGCCATCTGGTCTGTGGGTTAAGGGTGGGTAATTCTGGCCTGTCGTACTTTTTGAGTTTTTCACCAGTGAAGATGCCTTCAAGAAAGTGGGCCCTGAAGGGAACAAAGGCAGGTAAATAAATGATTAGGGCACTGTTTGTAATAACAGGGAGATAAGACCATACCACCCAACATTCTTGTCTCTCACATGAAGTAGTTAAGCATGTGAAGAGAATGAAGGAGGGAATTACTTGTCCTGATGTCATCTGCATCTACTTGACAGGGAAAATCTCTCTCTGCAAATACATGAAAAATAAACCCACTTCCCATAGCCGGTGGTCTGTTATGTTTTAAATGCCTACTAAATTCTTTGCCTGCTAGATATTTAATCTTGCTTCTATATTTATCTCAAGATAACTCTTTATTGGTCTTGTACAAGCAGAAATCCAGCTCATGGCTTTGTTACTGTTGTTTGGCAATATAAAGCAAAGGCAAGAGTCTCCTCATACCTGACTAAAAATGGCAGCATGTAGGGGGTCAGCCAGAAATCTTTCTCAGTCTTGCTCAAGTTTTTGATAGCTGCCTCCGATGGCACCAGGACAGTGACATTGGTTCCTGCTGGGATGCTGAAGAGAGATTTCTGTTGTCCAAAGCACAAAAATGAACAAATAAGACATGCCAGTGTCACATCTGTAGTGCAAAATATAATCAACAGTCATCCCGCATATATGGTCCAGCAGCACAGCAGGGTCTCCTGGGTGTGGCAGGTAAATGCTGTTGGCAATCAACAAATGCCACAGATGGTTTAGCCAAAACAGGTGACACCTGTTTGCCAAGGGAAAACCTGCTGCTTTAAGCCCTACTTTTTGTACATCAATTAATCTTCAAAAGCCATTCAGTCATATCCATAAATCCTTTCTGAACCCTCAACATCGGTTTTGGAGGAGGGACCAAGATTATTCCTGGCAAAAGCAATGTATGCAGCAGGACAGGTAAGCTAAAGCCCATTTAGATGCTGTACAGCATAGCATGCTTCCACAGACTTGCTGCAGTCTGCGGAGTGTCTCTGTTGTTGCCACAAGAGACAGGGAAGCAGTAAGAAGAAAAGGAACAAACATACAGTCTACCTTCTCAAAGCATGCTCTTCTGAAAAATAGCTATTATAATGCTACCCCTTTTTCTTTCCCTTCTGTGCTATTTCATGATGGCCAGGAGTTACAGATGATACAATCATGAAAATTAAGTGTAACAGAGACCCAGCTTCCTCTGGTGCTAGAAACAAGCCCCCCAAAACACACTCACGACCCTTGCTCTATCACAAACTCCAGAGCTTTTCTACACACCTGCTCTGTAACAATTTCTCCTTTGCTGTTGTTTTGGGTTTTTTTTTAATGAAAAAGATAAATGGAGTTGCTTTTTCTCTAACAGCAGTGTTCACAGGGACTTCACTTCTACCGAACGTACCCATGCGGGCATCCCATGGCTGTTCTTACCTTAAGCCAGTCGTAGAAGCCTGCAAAGTGGGAATTCCAGGCCAGCTCCTTCCAAATAGAAAAAACAGATGGGTTACCCCTGCTGAGCACTGGGGTTGCAGGGCTGGGAGCCCCAGGGTGGGGGAAAGGAGCCCTTCGCAATATCAAATCTGGCAATAATGACTTAGACATTCCTCTCTCACAACCATTACAGGCACTGTGTATCATGGGGAGGGATGGGGACTCCTAAAACCACACTCCAGCCATTAAAAAAATATATTCCCAGATAAACTCTTTTCAACTCATCTGCAATTGCTCATGTTTATCAGGGGCAAGGATTGAATCTACAATGGCCTTTGATATTTCTAATGACAGACAATGGGCCTAGCAGCTCTGACCTGAAAAAATTCCCAAACAACAACAAAAAAGATGACTTATTGCACAGGACAGACAGGGGTGAAGCAGCTTAGAAATTTTTGCAAACGGTTTCATGAACACACTGGCCTGGACACCAGTTCTGTCTCTGTGGCCTTGGGCAGACACGTGTGCTGTGTTGTCAGGCTGGTGGTGGGAGGAGTTGTCAACTCAGGTAACAGAAAAGGAAAGTAAGAGCAGAGCCATTTCTCTCCAATATCAAGAAAACCTCAGACATTTGCTTTTCACTCACTTTTAGAATGTCCCCATAACATGTCATGCCATCCCCCATGTAGCCTTGAGGACAAGTGCAGGATCTCTCTCCTCCTCCAAGGGGTATACACATAGCCTGCAAATACAAGGAAAAAAGAAATTAGCAAACACAGGTTATGCAGTGTTACACCTATCTAGGAAATGAATTCTGGCCTCCCATGGCCTGGGCTAGAGTTGCACACAGAAGCACCTTCCTCCTGTTGCCTTTATGGTGGCACCGAATATATACCTCATGCAGCAAAGCCTAGGTGATGGCTTTGGTTGCGTGAACTCACAAAAATCAGAGGATCCGCGCAGGTAAATCAGAGACCAAACCTTTGTAACAGCTCAGTGGCATGCCAATAAGATGACATAGCATAAATCCTTGCAATTTTTTCGATGCCAGGGCTGAAAAACCTCTCTCAGGGAGCAGAGAAACCTCCACCGCCATGCCAGCCTTGGGACAACACTTTAGCTACTCACCAAGTCATGGCAGCCACCGTTGTCCATGAGGCATGGGTTGATTGCATCACAGTTGTGGCCATCGCCAGCATAACCCCTCTTGCAGACACACTTGCTCTGCAAGAGAGAGACATTTCAATTTCATAGACCTATCAGAGTGTCCTCATTTGCTACCCAAAAAAGGTCTAAGGCAGCAAAACCTATCCTTGTTTTCCAAAGTTTTTTTCCTGGTCCCTCAAGACCTGGAAATGTGGAGATATTTCCTTAGCAGGGCATCATTCTCTATCACAGCACACGCGCTGCCTGATTACTCAAGCACATTGATCCCTTGCACTGCTTAGCTGGCAGGGGCATGTCACTTGAAGATGATGGTTTCCATCTTTATTTCCAGCGTTTCAGGGAATGACACAGACTTAGTGAATGGCAGAAAGACAAGAGGAGTTAATTTAAAAGCTTCCTGATTTCAAGATAGCTAGGAGAGCTTGCACATCTCACCTCACTAAAATCTGCTAAAGATTTGGCAGCTTTTCTCAGCACGTTGTCCAATGCTCCCCTGGCTCACTGGGGAGAAGCACCTTGAGAAGCAGCACCCTGAGAAGCCACCTCTCCTGCGCGCCTTCCTCCTACCTCAAAATGCCCGACTGCCAGCCCAGCTCCCTCCACAGACTAACACAGACAGTGTTTCTAGCAGCAGACAAGCAGGCTTTGCTGCTGACCAGCCCAATTTCTACCTCTGGCAATCCCAGGCCATCTCAGAGCAGCTTAGGAAATGTTAAGTCCACCATCAGACTGCTTAGCATTGATCATACCTGGCCAGGGCCGACATAAACACAGTCAGCGTTGATGTGACAGTTCCCTCTGCTCTCCAGCATGCAGTTGTCTATAGCCAAGCAGGTCTTCCCGTCCCCAGTCCAGCCTGTGTTGCACTGGCACGTGGCGGTGCCGGGGCCTGTACTGGTGCACAGGGCCTCCAGGAAAAAAGAGAGAAAAAGAATTACAGTCAGCAGAAGAAGGGAGGGAGCGCAGTGCAAATACAGCAACAAATCTCCTTCATCACACTGTGGAGAGTTTCTGAATGACCAACTCTGATTCCAGCACTGGGGGTGGGGGTAGAAGCATCTTCTCCAAAAAGTCCTAGACAACTTCATAATTAAGTGATTCTGGAAATATTTAGTGTTTTCCGAGAGGCAGACACTTGTGTCTAGGGTGGCTCATAACTCCCAAGGCATTCTCTACCATCCTGTAAAGCTTTTCCATTACAGAATAAATATTCCCTGAAGAGGAGGAGCACAATCTCCTGCCTGGACATGTGGGATGGAATCAATGATGGAGGGCAGATCCCTCTCAGCAAAGACCTATTTTGTACCTAGTGCCATCCTATTTCCTTCTACACAGCCCAATGTGTTCCTCTCACTCAGGGGTCTAAATTATAATGAGGTCTGACCATTTGGCAGTCATTTCCATCATAAAGCAGAACAGTTCTTTACTGAGGATGATAATGTGGTGTTGATGGTTACTAGAAATATGAGTTGGAGCTCATAGCTAAGCTACAGCCTGAACACAGCAACAGAGAAACTAACACACATTAGAAGAGCTTGAGGGGAAAATCAATACAACCCAAAAATTATCTGTACAGCTAATCTCTGTAGCTGCCAAAATATCTGGTGCAAACCAGCCAAGCTCTCCCTGGGGTGTTGTGTTTCAGCATCAACCCAAGTGATTGACATCCTTGTGATGACTGTATCAAGGTACCTGTTATTACACCCCATCTTAAAGACAGGGAAAGTTAGCACACAAAATCTGTAACAGTCCCAGGAGTCCTGGATCCCTACTCTGGTTGATAGGAGCTGCTTCTCCACACTTCAGCAGTCTGACCCACTTACATTCTGTGAACAGCCTCCTCGTTCTGGCTGACTGCACAAGTCGATGGGTTGGCAGGAAAACCCATCACCTTCGTATCCATCCATGCAGATGCACCTTAAAAGCATAAGCACAAAAGGGACACAGGTAGAGCAGCTCCTTCTGAAAGCCAGCAGAGAGCAAAAAGGCAGTTTCAGCCTCTCAAGCAAGCAAGAACCTGACTTTGATTTCCAGCAGGTTGGCTGCATTACTCAAACAATCCTGCGCACCAAGTACACAGACATATGTACACAATTACAGGGCTGGCAGCCTCACAGCTGCTGTGTGCCTGTACAATGACATTGTGCCCACCTGAATGTGTATGCCAGAAAGACTGACCTTGCTGTGTCATTGAGGCTGCAGACAGCATTCTGGTGGCAGTACTGGGACAGCCCACTCGGGCCACAGTTCTTGGATGTCTTGTCACAGAATTTGCCGGTATAGCCTTCCTTACAGGTCCAGGACTGACACACACCACCGCTGCCAGGCCTGTTGTCACAGATACCATGGACACAGCCACAGTCTGTCAAGTACATGGAGTAAGATCAGTAACTACAAAAATTCCAGAATCCCCCACAGTGATGGCATTTTGTAGATTCCCAACTTTCCTTCACAATCTCTTGTGACACCAAATGATCATCCCATTTGTTCTTGACAGAGGGATGTCTGTTCAAAACCTGGCCAGGGAACGGATCCTGTGACCGCCTGGGTCTGTGTTTTTTAAAGGCTGTAATGACAGGCTCAAAGTCCTTGTCAACTGTCTTTTCTTTCCTAGCAGGAGAGATCTGAATCAAAGTCCCACACCTAAATTTAGCTGACATTTCCAAGACTCCCATCCGCACTGTCATATCAGCCATGTTTTCTCCACTGTTGTTTGAAGGGACACCCATGATGACATTTCTGTCATTTCTTTTGTGATGCTGGCCGTGCCAGAAGGGAATCTAGGATGCACGAACCTGCGCTATATCCTTGCCCTACATTTTTCTCTAGTCTCTCTATCAGAATTACCAACCTTCATCACAGTTCTCGCCATGCTTGTTTGGGTTTGAACAGATGTGGCAGGCTATTCCTTTGAAACCTTCAAAGCAGTGACAGTTGCCATTCCCTTGTATGCCATCGCTACACTGGAAGGAAAACAAAAAGAAAACCAATGTGATTGAAACTCAGAGAACCAAGGCAAAGCCAAGACATTGGTATCAAAGGCACTTTGATACTTGCAGTAAAAAATAGGACTTTGAAGAGTGATGGTAGTAATACAAAATCCCACATAGCCAGAGCTGTCACCAACAGCCATAACATGATTCACATTAGAGCTCAAGATAGAAAACCCACTGAGTATGTGTCATTCTCCCTGGATCTTCTGCTGCCACCGCTACAGGCTTAGCCCTGGAGCACAGATTCTGAATTGTACTGTCGTGGTTTAGCCCCAGCCAGCAGCTAAGCACCAC